GTGCTGGATGAATTGCTGGCATTGACGTGCCTTCCCGCCCAGCCTCAGGTGGGCCCCGAGGGAGGGTCACATCACACTGCCCCTGTCCTAGCAGGTGCTGGAGGAGTCGGTGTCCTCCCTGGTGTTGGAGGGGTCGGCGTTCCTGGAGGGGCTGGTGCAATTCCTGGGATTGGAGGCATCGCAGGTAATGTGTGTTCCAGCAGGGGTAGGGTGTCCTTGAGAGGGCCTCAGGGGAAGGACCCCACTGTCTGTGCCTGTCTTTCCAGGGGCTGGGACTCCTGCTGCGGCTGCTGCTGCAAAGGCAGCCGCGAAGGCAGCCAAGTATGGTGAGTGCCCCCTGGGGGTGACAGGCCCAGGGCTCTGCCTAGGCCAGAGAGACCCCAGCCCTATCGGGCTGGATGGACTTTGCTTTCGTCCACCTACGGAAGCCTCTCTGCCCCTCCCCAAACATGTGTCGTGTAGCCTCCTGCTTCTGCCCCATTCTGGTCTCTCTACCTGGGATCCATTGCCATCAGCCTCCTCTGGGTGACTCAGCACAAAACGGGTGACCCAGAGGTCGCCGATCCACAAGGTCAGGGCTGAGCCACAGGTATCTGCTGTACCGACTGCGTGGAGGCCCAGTGCTGAGAACCCTGACTGGTTGTAGAAATAGATCCTGTTCTCCCCAGCCCAGGGAGCCCCCCTTAGAGATCTTTAGGGACGCTCTGGTCCATGCAGAGGGAATGCCAGCCCACCTGCAATCCTGCACTCAGGACCAACTGTCACCCCTCAGAGCTCCCCTGAGCCACTGTTCTTGATGGCCCTCTAAAGTTTGCACAGGGTCCAGGCCAGAACCACCCTTTCCCTTCCACAGGAGCGGCTGGAGGCTTAGTGCCTGGTGCGCCAGGCTTTGGCCCAGGAGCTGGAGTTCCTGGAGTCGGAGTCCCAGGAGTCGGGGTCCCAGGAGTTGGGATCCCAGGTATCGGGGGAGTAGGTAAGTGGTGCTTTCTGTGTGTGCGCCATGTGTGTGTGTACATGTGAGACAGAAATAGCAAAACCATTGCCAAAACTTTCCGATTCGTCTTCTCCAGTTTACCTCTGGTTGATGGTATGTAGCTGAGGTGGGAACCCATGTCTTTTTCAGCTCTATGTTTAGCCGAGAAGGTGCTCCGTAAATGGTAGACAGCTAGGTGGACGGCTGGATGACTGTGCAGATAGATAACTGGGTGGGCAGGGAAGTGGCCATGTGAATGAACAGGCAAAATGATTAATAAGAAGGTGGGCAGGTGAGTGGAAGATGGATGGATAGACATAAGGATGTGTGGATGTTTACTGGGTCGTCAGAAAAGTTATGATGCATTTTCTGCATAGAAAAACATAGAAAATTACATCACGAGTTTCCAGCAACCCAATAGATGGATAGACGGGTAAAAAGGTGGATGGATTGGTGGCTGAGTAAGTTTAAATATGGATGGGTAGGCAGGTGGGAGACTAGATAAGTGGTAAGAGATGCATGGGTGGATGGTTGGATAGTTGGCTGAGGGCATGGTTGGTTGAGCAGATGAGAGTTGGGTGGCTGGAAGGGTGGGCAGGCAAATACAAAATGGTGGTTGGGAGGGCCAGCAGAGGGCACAATGGTTGTATCACTGCACTCCCATGGAGTCAACCACAGTTCAAGTCCCGGACCCAGGGGCTTAAAAGTCATGCCATCATGCCAGGTGTGTGTGTGTGTGTGTGCCCAAGATCCCAAGAGGCGAATGGAGGAGAAGGGATTGCGGTGTGGCCTTCCCCTCTGGGGGGTGATTTCTCACTTTCTCTCTCTGTCTCTCTGGCAAGTGCATGTGCCCTATAGCAAAAATCTCTCTTAAAAAAAAAAAAAAGTGGTGGTTGGACAGATGTTAAGGGAATGCATATACAGGCAGATGGGTGGATATGTTGATAGAGATATGGGTGCTTGGGGGTACAGAGATGGTTGAATGAACAGACTGAGTTTCAAGGATAGACAAGTGGACAGACGTAGAGGTGGGCCAGTGAGTGGCTAGACCAGTGACCGGGTAGATGATGGGAAGAGGGATGAATGGCAGTAGAAATGAGCCATCTCTTTCTCGGCTTGATAGATAACACTGCATATCTCTCATCCATTCTCTCCTGAGCACTGTGTCCCACTTGGTCTTCCAGGGGTCGTGTCACCAGCTGCAGCAGCTGCTGCTAAAGCAGCCTCCAAAGCAGCCAAATACGGTGAGTGCTACATGACAGCCCTTCCCAACCCTGTTCAGGCCTTGGCTTCCCAGAACTAAAGAATTCTCATCCTCTTGCCCAGAGGAGAGGAGTGATTTCCCTGAGGTCATAGCAAGTCACTGGCAGAACTGGCACTTGGACGTGGTAGGCCCCAGGACAATGTCTCCCCCAGTTGTCTCCCACCATGAGGCCATGCGACTGAGTGGTGGCAGAGTCCCCGGATGGTGTCCTCGATGGAGACAGTGATCCTGAACACCTCTGCCTGGCTAGGGCACTTTCAGAGGAGACATGGACATGCCCATGGTCTCTCCATATTTAACAAGAGAGTCCTTCCCCAAGAGCTCTGGGAAAAGAGGCCTTGAAGGAGAAATAAGGCTGTCGTTAAAGACTTCATGGAGGAGGCTGGTCAGGGCCCAGGCCTTCCACACTTTCCTGTCCCCATCAGCCAGACTTAGAAGAGTTTGAATCCTCTTTCTCCAGAACCAGCACCCCCCAGAGCCCTGGTAGCCTCTGTCTCTCTGAGGCCCTTTTCACTTGATTCCCTTCCCTCTGCAGGGGCCAGAGGTGGAGTCGGAGTTGGAGGCATTCCCACTTACGGGGTTGGCGCTGGGGGCTTTCCAGGCTATGGTGTTGGAACAGGAGTTGGAGGTGTCCCTGGAGCTGGCCTTTCCCGTGAGTCTCAGTTCCGTCTGGGAAAATTATCCAAGAAATATCAGGGGCTTCTCTTGGCTCGAGCCATGCAGGGCGAGGGAGCAGTGTAGGTCGGGCTCTAACACACTCGAGAAGGAGTTGGAGGAGAGGGCAGGGGGTCTTCAGTGCCTTTGGGGCAAGAGAGAGGTAAGCACAAGCCACCTGAGATCCGGCCTAGGTCTCTGACAGTCTCTTTCCTTCTCGTGTCCTCCTAGCTGCAGCCCAGGCAGCGGCTGGCGCCCCAAGTATGGTGAGTGTCCTGTCCTGTATGTCCCCAAACGCTGCTCTCCCACAGGGCCCAGGCTCCCCGCTCAGAGCCGTTCTCCAGCGCGAGGGCACAGCAGCCTCACCCTCAGGGCCCCAGGGTGGGGTTGGCTGAGGCCAAGGTCAGAGGTTCCCATCTCAGGTTTCCAAAGCCACACTCGACCCTTCTGCCCTTTTCAGTTGCCCACTGAGGATGTGTAATGCCCTCTCATCTCATCGCACACCGAGTTGGAGATGCCAGGCAGCCACTCTGGCCCTCCCCCACCCTAACTCCCCCAGAGATGGGCACAGGGGAGACCAGGCTGAACATGCTTCACCCTTCCAGGTGCTGGAGGCGCAGTGCCAGGCGTGTCAGGTGTGCCAGGTGTCCCAGGTGTCCCAGGTGTCCCAGGTGTCCCAGGTGTGCCCGGCGTGCCAGGCACTGGAGGAGTGCCAGGTGAGCTGTGCCCCAACCCAGAGGTGGGCTTGGTTTGTCTGTGGAAGGAGCTGGGGAGGTAACATGACCTACGCCGTCTCACAGACGGTCACAGACAGCAAGGCTGACCCTGAGACTGGGAGGAGGGATACCGAGCTCCCCTAGAGCAGCCTGCAGGGAAGAGCCCTCTGGGGGGCTCCAGTGGCCGATCCCGCCTAGGAGCTCAGGAACGTGTCCAGCTCCGTGTCAGAGCTCTGTCCTGCCCGAGGCTGGGTGGTTTCACTTACTCCGTGGGGCCTCTCTACCTCCTCACCAGGTGGGAGAGCCCATCACCCTTTGGTTTTCCGGCGCTCTCTCTTCACCAGTCAGAAGCCAAAGAGGAGAGATTCAGTGACCGTGACATTAAGTGACCACTTTCCTCGGTGGTTTCTCACATTAGAAGATTTCCCTTCTGCAGTCCTTCTCTCTAGGAGAGCATTCCCCTTCTGCGTCTCCATGAGCTATGTGAACTAGTTCCTCCCATCGTTTTTGGATATAGGTGCTATTAGAATTTTTTTTTAATTAATTAAGCAGTAAGCTCCATGAGCTTTTCCTCTTTTTAAAAATTTATTTATTTCAAATGGAGAAATGGACAAATAGGCATCCCCAACAGAGCGCTCACACTGGAATCCACCACAGGTCCCAGCCTGACCCAGCTCAAGGCACACGCACACATGCCTGGTGTGCTCGGGGAGGTCCCAGGACACGCACCAGGCCCTTGCCCACATGGGCTTGGTTTGTCTGTGGAAGGAGCCTGTCTGTGGAAGCTGCCCACCACTGCACTATGAACTGGCTCCATTACAGTCTTTCCGTCCTAGCACTGGGAGAGAGCCATCGCACCCCCACACCCCCGTCACAGCAGCTCAGAGCTGCTTCTCAAGTCCTTTCCAAAGCCCAGGGAAGGGAGAGCCTGTGCCCAGGTGCTACTGGGTGATCCTCGGGGGGCCAGATCTGGAGCCCAGCTGTCCTGCCTCGGGCCGGACTCTGCCGCCTCGCCTCCCTCTCTGTCCCCAGCATAAGGAAGCAATACATAGAGTGAGACTTCTGGGAGGGGGACAGCTCCCTGGGAGTGGATTCAGGGAGAACTTTTCACAACAAGAGATGGGGGCGAGAAGGGAAGGGGCTTGGGACCATTCCCTCACGGTCTCTTCACCCCGTCAGGAGCTGGGACCCCAGCAGCTGCAGCCGCTGCTGCAGCCGCCGCAGCAGCCGCCAAAGTTCGGTGAGTGTCCACATCTGGTCCAGACCCTCGTCCCAGGGCATCACTCTCTCACATCCTGTCTCTGGGCTCAGGTAGCTCAGCTCCCCTGGCCTCTCCAGGCCTCTCAGGCAGCCAGCTTCTGGGTGGGCCTTCCTCAACACTTTGGCCATGTGATCACCTTTAGGGGTGTGGGCAACATTTCTGATTAGGGACATAGTGTGAGAACGGACCCCAGGGAGCCCTCCAGGACCTGCCCAGCCCCATTCCCAAAGCCCCTAGCAAGATCCAATCTAGCTGAGGCCTGCCCTCCTTCTGGCATTCATGTTGGGCTCCTCGGGGGCTCCAGCACCCCCCCACTCCAAGAGACTGGACTACATCTTGCTCCCTGGCAAAGTTCCCCAGCTCTGAGGGCCACCCTGGCAGCCCCAGGCATCCACGTCTCCCTGAATATGGTGAATCACGGCAGCCCCACTCACAGTCCCCAGCCAGAGGGTCCATGCACCTTGGCCTTGGGGACCTACAGGCAGCAAGGTTTGATCACAATCCCTAAGGCTGAACAGGCTGGAGCACGTCATAACGTCAGGTCCGCTGACCCCCAAACGCACATACGTGGCTATTGTACGAGGCTGATAGTACTAGTCCCATTTTATGGATGTGGAAACTGAGGCGCCCAGTCATACAGCTGAGCAGTGGCCAGGCTAAGATGGAACCCAGGTCTGTCTGCCTGGCAAAGCTCCCTCCAGTCTCCAAGATCCTTGTTCACCAAAAGGTTAAGAACTCCCGGTCCTGCACCTACCTCTCAGTAGCGATGAGAAAGCGAGGGGCTGTCAAGGGAATGTAGCTGGTCGGCCACACAGCAAGTCTCTGCCCTGGCCGGCATGAACCCAGGGCTCCTGACTCCCAGTCCAGTGCTCTTTGCTCTGAATGTGGATAAGGATGAGCTATTCTCGCTCTCCTAGGCGTAGCCCCTGGTGTCGGTGTGGGGCCGGGGGTGGGCGTGGCTCCTGGAGTGGTTCCTGGTGTGGCTCCCGGCGTGGCTCCTGGTGTTGTTCCCGGCGTTGGCGTTGTTCCTGGTGTCGGTGTCGTCCCAGGTGAGCTGCGGGACTAAGGGGCCCGGGGAGCCCCTGAAGCCTCTGTGGGTACCACCTGAAGCCCTCTCTCCTCCTCCAGGAGTAGGGGGCCCAGCTGCAGCCAAGTCTGCTGCCAAGGCAGCTGCCAAAGCCCAGTATGGTGAGTGCCCTCCTGCCTTTTCGCCTCTGCCACCAACCTGGGGCTCCCAAGCCTGAGCTGGGCCCCTGGATAAGCCTCTCAGACCCACCCTGCAACCCCCTTCCATCTCCAAGCATTAGGTAAAGGGGTTGGAAGCATAGGGCTGGCAGGAGGGAGACCCAGGCCCAGGTGCTGGGTCCCACACTCACCGTGACCTCCGAGGACCTCTGGCCTCACATGTGAAGTGTGAGGGCCAATGGCACTTGCTCAGAAGGGTGTTAGAATGCACGAGTGCATCCCAGAGGGGGAGCAGGAGGGCAGGCCCAAATGCCCAGCTGGGAGGGACACAGCCTCAGTGACTGATGGGAGTTCGGGAAGACTCAGTGGCAGCTCAGAGGACAGATGACAGAGCATGAGTCTGAGGAGAGGGACAAGGCCAGGAGGAGGCCTGGACCCCTTCCCTTGGGGCTGACTCAGCTCCCTGGGCAGGACACCTTCACAGGGACGCAGTCCCTGCCTGCTGCACTACCCGCTGCCTGTCTCTCTGCAGGGGCTGCCGCTGGGCTTGGTGCAGGGCTTCCTGGCTTTGGAGTTGGTGCTGGAGGTGC